TTGTGGAGACATGTCCTGTGGTCTGATGGAACTAAAATAATACTAATAATGATAATTGATTAGATTTATACAGCACTGTTCTTACTCAAGGAGTAACTCAAAGTTCATACAATCAATTGTCAATTATTCATTCACACACATTCATTGCAGTGGTGCCCTGGGGCAGACTGAGCCACAACTGCTCTAGAACTGAACTGTTTGGCCATAATGACCATCGTTACATTTGGAGGAAAAAGAGGGAAGATTGAAGCCTGAGAACACCATCCCAACTGTGAAGCACGGGGGTAGCAGCATCATGTTGTGGTGGTGTTTTGCTGCAGGAGGGACTGGTGCACTTCACAAAATAGATGGCATCATGAGGAAAGAACATTATGTGGAAATTTTGAAGCAATAGCTCAAGACATCGGTCAGGAAGTTAAAGCTTGAGCACCAATGGTTCTTCAGATGGACAATGACCCTCAGCATACCGCCAGATTAGTTACAGAGAAGCTTCAGGACGACAAAGTCAATGTTTTGGAGTGGCCATCACAAAGCCCTGATATCAGTCCTACAGAACATTAGTGGGCAGAGCTGAAAAGGCATGTGGAGCAAGGAGACCAACAAACCTGACTCAGTTCCACCAGTTCTGTCAAGAGGAATGGGCCAGAATTCATCAAACTATGTGAGAAGCTCGTGGATGAAAACCCAAAACATTTGACCCAAGTCATGCAGTTTAAAGGCAATGCTACCAAATACTAAGGAAATGAATGTAAACTTCTGACTTTGAAGAAAGTAATAAAAAATTCTCTCTGTCATTTAGCAAATAGGAATAACTTTGGTAATCCTAACTGACCTAAAACAGGAAAAGTTTAGTCTGATTTAATGTCACACAGTGAGGAAAAATGGTTAAGTGTCTTTTTATACAGTGGATGTAAACTTCTTCTTTCAACTGTGCATGTGAGGTATTTATGGAACCACAGTAAATTGTAGCTTTAAACAAAAACCTGGGTTACACTCTCGCTCTAAATTGCATGACTGCATCCACATCAGTCACTCCATGCCACTGATCACCACAAGTAAATTCTCAGCCTGTGGGAAACAAGTGAGACATGTCAAAACAAAAAACATTATATGCTCCATTCATTCTGAAGAGTGTGGCCAAGGCATGGCTGGGAACAATGCTGTTACTGTCAGAGCATCGATGTTCCAAACTCAGATGTTCAAAAAGCAGTGTTTAAGACACTAATCCTGCATTTCTGTGGCAAAATGATGCAGTGAGGAGTCGGAAATGATAATGTCACTTACCACTGCTTATAATCTGGCCAAAGAAGAGTTTTTCCTAACTTTAAGTTCTAGACGATCTTATAAAAAAGAAAAAATCATTTATTTGAACTTTTATACCTGTGCACAGTCATTTCCATAATGTCTTAAGAAATTACCAGTGTATACTGGAACTGACAAAGTAACATTTTAAATGAATTATATGCTTCTGCACCTAAATGCAGCAGCAGTTGTGCTGTGAAAAAAATGAGCATACATGGTAATCTTCAGCTCATTTTAATTTCAGAAACCCAGTGAATCAAAAAAATTAGAGACAAGAGTTATATTTGTAGCTGTTTAATCTTTTGATTGCTCGTGTCATTCAGAATGATGTGTGTTACTCATTTAGCAATTAAACAAAACCATTGAAACCTTTTTAAATACACTTTGTGATGGTTCTGTACAACAGCCCAGCAAGAATTTAGGCACATAGAATAATTGGCATGACATTAATTTTAGCTCGTGAACATCAAAGTAAGTTTGTTTAGTGGTGTGTAGATGTGTGCCCCCGAGCCAGACGGAGACGGACAGGGTTAACTGCGAGCTCTGTTGCCTGCAGTACATGCTGTCACAGCAGACCATAGATGCCCTCAAAAAACCTGCCTTTGACGTCTGGCTGTGGGAGGCCAACGAGGTAAGACTGACCAGCTTGCTCAACCCATCTTTCACACAGTTCCACTCTCTACTCTCCTCTCTCCTCCCTGCACCCCGTCTCCCTGTCTGCCCTGCTGCCCTTTGTGTGTGTAGTACCATCTGTCTCAGGAGACAGTAGAAGCTCTTAGATTGCCTACATTCGATGCTTGGCAGTGGGAACCCAATGAGGTGAGACTTGTGCCCTAAATAATCCCCTGATTCATTTTTTGACTAATAATTATTACTGATTAATCAACTAATGATGAAGTTGTAAATTATGAATTGGTGATTGTGCTATTAATGATTTCCTATTTGTTTACTATTTTGTTCTTATTGTTAAGTATTTGCTCAAACGCGAGAAAAAATGTGTTGGTAAATTTCAGCCACCTGATATTACCTGTCCTAAAGTGAGGAAACACAAATTAAAGACATGGGTGCACATGAAATGTTAAAAGAGCAATCCACAGATTTAGCATTTCTGAAACATTGTCTGACTTATGGTGAACCGTATAAAAAAGGATTGGCAGCACATAAAAAGAAAAACAGTGCGCATATCCCCTCCTATACAGCATACAATAGAAGTGAGTACACTCATATTTTATTAGATAATCAGAAATAAATTAAAACACTAGAACTATATCAGGTTGAGTTTATGGGCTATGTCAATTTGGATGTCTGCATCAAGGCTCCACATTGAAGAACCAGTGGAAGTGAAATTGAGACAAAGATGTTAAAGTCAGCACCTTGTTAACCTGAGCTAGGCTCTGCACTTTACCCCGAACGATGGGGTTCAAGTCGCTTCAACAGAGGGGCTGGGATCAAACCGCCAACTGTTTTTTAACCTGACCTTAACTATACCCGCTCTACTACCTGAGCCATGGCCACCCCAAAATAAGGAAGAAATTCCTCTTTAGCACAAAATTGTCACCTTAAAATTTGAGAAGAACTTGCAAAGGGGCCTGATGAATATTGGGAGGACATCCTTTTTTTTAGCAGATGCCAAGATAAATTTGCTCAGCTCAGATGGGATCCAACTTGTTTTGTGTGAATATGGCCAGCTCAACCACAGTGGATGCATGGTCAAGACAGTGAAGCATGGAATTAGGGAGGTGATGATATGCAACTGCATGGGTTTTATAGATATGACAGTTATGAATGCAGTATGAATGCCTGTGGATGTACAACAATACTGTTTGACAAGATGACTCCCAGTCTGCAGAAGCTTGGCAGAAAAGGAATATTCCAGCATAACAACCATCTAATGTACAATATGTTTCTAAAGAAAAACAAAGGGAAAACTATTAGCCATGTGTCAACTTAGTATATTGCCTGACTTGAAACCCATGGGCTAGGACGACAGTTTGAAAATGTAATTGTATGAAAGATTTTGTAAAGGCTTCACACAGGCTTCCTTTGGCAGACACTAAAGGCCCTATATTACTTTTTCCACATAGGAAATAGTAACCGTTGATGGAGATCCCTTGATAGGTACTCCAGCATATTGGTATTAATCTTTTTATAGAATGCATTAGGACTGACCAATTTGGGGAAAATTGTGGGGGGTCTGAGACTCAGCCACAGCAGACCCAGCAGACCAGCAGTTGAAACAATAATACATTTACAATATGAATCACAATACAAAACACACAGAGAAGTGGAAGGGTAATAGGAAATAACATCACTATGGCACAACTGGGCAGACTTCTCCCAAGGGGGACCACGAGGCAACCAGATAGACAATACTACAGCTGAATACATACTTCAGATACGCTACGGGGACTCCAACACAGCATAACACTAATCTGGAAACGTGTGACATTACATGCAACAGTACACACGAGCACTATACAAAATCCCAATATCTACAAGCCCAAGAGAGAAATGGAACTTAGCTGGCAGCCTGAATGGGGAGATTGATCGAGGGATTGCAGGTGGAGGAGGCTTGTGGCGTGGCTGGTATGATCACTTCTACAGGTACAGGAGTCAGGTGTGGAATCTATAGGTGAATCGAAGATGAATCAGTTGTGGTTAATTGAGGCAGGAGCCAATGTTTCGACAGGTGGCAGGAGGTGCAGGCAGGGAGGGTCACGGAACTGAACAGAGTTCAGGTTAGCCGGAGTACAAACACCAAGCAGGAGCAGAAGAGTAGCCCGGGTAGACTAGACTGGTGTGTTCAACAGTCTGGTGTCTGGTCATGGTTGGAGCCTGGCGTTCATGGTGAAGGTAGATGAGTTTCAGGTGGACCACTCCCCACCAAAGGTGCGCTCCATCAGGTGATCATCCAATGGTCGGCACCTGTATACGTTCCAACGCCTCACTGACGCATGAGGGGAAAGGGAAAGGAGGGAGAAGGAGTGGGAAGGAAAGGCTGCACTAAGCAGAGCTGGAGGTGGAGGGCATGACGTTGTTTCCATCTTTTATTGCTGTTTTCTCATTGCATGACTTAAGAGTTGTTCTGGTCTATCAGTATTCGGGCCAGTAAATTAAAAAAGTAAAATAAAGCTGTACAGATGATAGTAATAATAATAATATTAATGACGAATTGTCATTCAGTAGCTGACCACTGAAGTACACTCGTGTATGAAAATTTAGATTTTGTATTGTATTTGTACATAGTTTATAGTACAGACGCTAACGGGTCAGAGGAGGGGAAGGGGTGTGATGGAGCCACAGCTCTGGGGTAAAAGCTGTGCCTCAGCCGGTTCGTGCTGGACTTTGTTCTGAACCACTTCCCAGATGGTAGCGGTTGGAGCAGGGAGTTGCCGGGGTGTGTACTGTCCATTAGAATGCCTCTGGTCTTCTTCCTCTGTCTGCTGGCAGAGAGCGAGTCAAGGTGAGGGAGCTCCAGCCTGATGAAGTGCTGTGCTGCCTTCACCACTCTACGCAGGGCCCCACCTCTCAGCTGTGCGGCTCACAAACCACAGGGTGATGCAGTGTGTGAGGATGCTCTCGGTGGTACTCCAGTAGAAGATGAGCATCAGTTCCTGGGGGAGCTGGGCCTTTCTCAGCTTTCTGAGGCAGAAGAGTCTCTGTTGGGCTTTCTTGAACAGGTCTGAGGTGCTGGCAGTCTATGCCAGCTGGTAGGAAACACTGATCTCCTGATGTCTGAGATTACCTCCTTGGTCTTGGAGGTGTTGAGGACCAGGTTGTCGTCATCTCACCACTCAGCCAGATGTGCCACCTTGTACCTGTTTGCCAACTCATCATTGTCTGAAATGAATCCCACTACTGTGGCGTCGTCGGTGAATTTAATTATGGGGTTGGAGGTGTGAATGGGGGTGCAGTCATGGATAAACAGTGTCAAGACGATGGGCCTCAACACACTGCCCTGTGGGGTTCCTCTGTTCAGGGTGAGGACAGAGGAGGTGTGGTGTCCTATTCTCACTTGTTGTGGTCTTTCTGTGAGACAGTTCAAAATCCATGAACACAGTGAGGAGACCAGGCCCAGAGTGTCCAGTTTATCAACCAGTTTCTTTCTTTGTTTCTTTAGCCGTGTTGTGACAAAAGGTTTTAAAGCTAGAGGTAACAAACTTGCATGAAGTGGAGGCGAGTACTGCTGTGTAGATAAAAAAGTAATATGAAACCTTTCGTGTTGGCAGGATGAGCTGTGTGAAGTCTCATAAACATCCTCAAGAATGATACTTGAGCCAGCTTTGGTTTTTGCTGAGGACTACATGTTTGAAAAGTAAAAAATGAAAAACAAACAACAACAAAAATCTACATCAACTACTCTTACTGTAACATACCCAAACTGTGCGGCAGGTTGCACTGTAGACAGTGTAGGACCTAGGTACAGAGGGGTACATTAGACAAGGTTAGAATTAACCAGGACTGTGTGCTACTGGGGCTGCAAGGTGGCTCAGTGGTTTGCAACTAGAAGATCCCCGCTTCATGTCCTGGTTAAGATGCCTAGGATCTCCCTGTGCAGTGTGGGTTCTCTCCAGGTTCTCTGGTTTCCTCCCATAGTCCAGAAACATGTTGAGGTTAATTGGTGATTCTAAATTGTCCGTAGGTGTGAATGTGAGTGTGCTTGGTTGTCTGTCTCTAAGTGTAGCCCTGTGATAGACTGGTTACCTGTCCAGGTGAACCTGCCTTCAACCTGAGTCAGCTGGGATAGACTCCAGCCCCCCATGACCCTAGTGAGGACTAGGCGGTGTGTAGATGATGGATGGATGTGTGCTCTCGTGCTGCAACAGGGTGAGGCTGGCTAATCGTGCTGAACTGGGATTAAGCTATAATTATTCACTGGATGTTGTCTCTCAGACATCAGACTTATCCCTTAAGAGAGCTTTTTGCATCTGTTTTTCAAACAGATTTGGCCCTCTGCTCCTGCAGATAGATTAATTGTCATACAGTGGTTTACAACAAAACAATACAAAACATACCAATACTAAGCAAAACATAAAATGTATAAATATACCCCAAGGAAAACTAAAATAAAGCAAGAATGCTAACAATATTGTATTTAGATGAAAGATTCGATGAACACACAAATTGGTTAGATGAACACATATATTTAGACTGTTTAAAATAGCTCTGAGACTATGGAACTGAATCCTGACTGAAAAGCAACATACAGTGCTGTGAAAGAGTATTTGCCCCCTTCTCAAATTCTTATTTTTTTCCATATTTTTTCCACTTCAATGTTTAAGATCATCAAACAAATGTAAATATCAGACAAAGATAACC